GCCGATACCCTAATGTGTGGAACAACAGTAAAAAAAAATTTTTTCTATTTTTATAAATATAAATTTTTAAGGGGGTCCTCCTGCCGTAGCCGCGGTCACAGTCGCTCGCGCTGAGGTCATCGGGAACGCCAAGTCATCTGGATCGTATTCATCATGGGTTGACCCCACAGACTCCATGTCCACATCAGGTATATCGCCTAGTGGTCCTAGGCGCTCAATTCGCTGGGAGGACCTGGGATGAACTGGTCCTTGACCCTTCATGGTGTGTCCCCTGTCCACTGCAACTTTTGTGGAGCCTTTCTCTTCAAGGAACTTGGTCATCGCCTTATCAAAGTACGACTGGAGTGCGCTAGGGGAAACTGACTCGGTCTTTGCTTCCTGATCCGTCTTTGTCCCCATCAACCTTGGCTCCACTTTGCACCGGGCTTCCGTCTCTTCCTGTGTTTTGCGCTGGACCCATGGGGTTGCTGTGTCCACATGGCCAGCTTCGCGAACTCGTGCTTCTAACAACGCTGCACCAGCTGGACCCAGTTGCATTCGGTCCACCGTATCCATCAGGGCCGACATCATAGATGAGGTGGCTGATTCGTATTGAGACCTTGGTGACGATTCACCGAGTGACGCAGCAGGAGAGACCACACCAGGATCCACTACTCCTCCATCTTGACGGGGTACTTCCTTCGGGGGAAACTCCCCCACCAACGTCTTGAGGTGACCATGCAGGGTCACTAAGGTCTAATTCAAAGTCTCGAACCCGAAATTGAAGAGGGTCTCAGCGGTAAAGTTCCCAGCATCCATCCCAGCTTCTTGTAGCAGATTCATTACGGCCTTGAGGACCTCCAGGTCTGTGGTCGTGGTGGGAAGAGCCGTTATCGGACCGTGGACCTGGTCCATAAACTTGACCTTGAGCGCCTTCATCACCGGGTCCTTTCGAAGAAACGTCTTCAATTTATTCCGATGGTAGGCTTCTTCCAAATCTTCTTCTGTCCAGTCCTTACTAGCCACGCCTTGGCTCTCTCCCGACTCGTCCGTCGTGTCTCCGCCTCTCGGTGCCTTCAACTTGGTATGCTTCTGCTTCTTTTGCTTGTTCTTGGGCACATTTGGCTTTTGAGTGGTAGGTTGGGAGACTTGCTTCGGGGTCCCTTGTTTTTTAGCTTTCGCTGTCAAACTTGGGACCCCTGGACCATAATATTTATTATGGCCCATATTGTCTTCTTCCACGAAGACATAAGGGGGAGGATTTTGTGGTTTTTCTTCATATTCCACCTTGACCTCAATAGTAGAGCTCCTCCCCGGGCTCTGCAGGTCCTCCGATCCTTCTTCCTTCTTGATCACTGGCGATCCGGTTTCCAGTGTCTTGGTCGTCCCTTGGTCTATCTTGACCGATGTCTTTTCTTCTTCGTGGGACTCACGGTGAAATCCCGCGTCCCCCGAAGATCCGCGCACGCGCACCATTGTGGTGGAGTGGATTCTCAAACAACGTAGGAGATCCACAAACACACACAGCGCCGGACTGCCGACTTACGGAGGGGGTACCCCGATACCGTGTCGTATTGGCCTTGGGTCTCACCTTGTGTACCCGTCGGCTTGGCTGGTCTTACTCCTCGGTTGACGCAGAAGACTTAAAGACTTGGTCTTTGTATAGGACTTGGACTTGGTGGTCCCCGAGTGGATATACTTCACTCGGGACCGGGTTTCTTGTGCTCAATCGACTTAGTCGAGAGCGATGCACCTGGTACTATGTACCCCTTTGGTGGCTGACTATTTTTTGGTCCTTGGACCCCTTTGTGTTCTTCCCCGTAGGGAAACCGCTTCCTGTAGCGGGTCGTAGAGTGTTGACACTTACTTGACACCTCAGGCCAACTATCCTGAGGTTCAACTTGCGTTGCTTGAGCCGTCTAACACCTGCTGGACGTCGGGGGGCCAAAGGGTATCCCGCCCGGAAGAGGTGAAGCGACGGAGAAGCTTAGAAGGGGCGCTTAAAGCTGCCACGTGTAATGCAAATTCGAGTGTGTTTATTTACCTTATACTTTGTATGCTTTTTCTTGCCTAACCCTAACCCTTTGATCTGGATAGTGCCACGTGTCGACTCTTGGAGGAAGAACTGGCTCCTTGGTACCCTGTACTTTCTGTAATCTTCGATATTCTGTGTACCGATTCTGCACCCTCGGACATTAGGGCCCTGGGCCCCTGGGTCCCTAGGCCCCTGTACCTCTGGGCCCCTGGGCTCCTGGGTACCTGTACCCTGGGGCTCCGGGCCCCTGGGCCCTTGGGCCTCTAGGCTCCTGTACCCCTGGGTCCCTGGGCTCCTGGGTCCCCGGAACCTGTTTCCGGGACCTGGGGCCTGTGCTGACTCCGCACGTCTGGGTCCTTATATTCTCAATACGGCGGGGCCTGGTGTGTGGTTGTAAATCCGCGAGGCCGGGTCGTGGTCACTCCCTCGGGGAAGTGACCAGAAGTTCTCTTGATCTCTGTTCCATTTCTTTTAAACTCCATTTTTCTTTGGCACTTCACCACATAAGTACTAACGTACCTGTATTAGAGAATTTTAGCTAAGTCCGTTAAATCGATGTACTCGAAGCCGAGTTATCGGAACTTTTCTCGCCAACGGTTGGAAACCTTTCTCATACGGTTGGAATCCTTTTCCATAACGACTGGATCTCTTTCTTATAACGGTTGGATTCCTGTCCCGCTAACGGTCTGTTTTCTGTCCACCATCAAGTCACTTAACAAAATGACTTATTGGTTGGGGTGAAGTCGATCGTTAATTCATGCACGATCGAATGGTAAAGTACCGTTGATTCAAGATCGTTTATGTTATTATTCAATAAAACAAATAAATAAGGGATCAATGGTATCGAAGACAATGATAATATGGATCAAAACATACTTAAGGTGAAGTTCATTCATGGCATAGATTACATTCTCAAATTATATTAGATTATCATGGAATTGATCACCGTTTGGATTATACTTGCTTCCAGTATCGGTTGATCCAATGAATCGATTCAATTGTTACGGAAGATACCTTAACGTGGAATAGTAAAATTTCGCAAAGTGTGGATCGCGTCCTTGGTTAAGTGTAATGGACAAATCACGATCCGAAATACATACGTATCGCATTCAGGTATGGATAGTGTGGAGGAACGAGGGGACAATAATTCGTAAGTGTAGATCGCGATTCAGGTTATGCGGACCACAAATTGTGGATCGACCGCGATGGATTGTGCAGAAATCGATCTGAATCAGAAACGCGATCTGACCCAGAAACGCGATCTGACCCAGAAACGCTATCCAGCTCAAATACGCGATCTGACCCAGAAACGCTATCCAGCTCAAATACGCAATCCAAAGCTGATCGCAATCCAGGTTATGTAGACCACACATTGTGGATTAACCGCGATCCTGAACTGATACGCGATCTGATTCAGATCGCGATCCGAGAATAAGGCAAGATAGCGACTGGATAGAAATTGTAAAGGTATTTGGAGTGGACCACATATCGAGATCTGATTTTTTTGAAGGAACGACACGTAGTAATAGATCCTGGACTACAGATAGGCAAAATCTTAGGTTTTGATATTGGATGGCTAACAATAATAGAATTCAATTTTACTTCTAATAACGTGTCGACTTCTCTTCCGGGATGGATTCTTTGTCCACCTGACGTATCGAGAAAGCCTACACACTACGCAAATCATATTCCTAAATTGTTTAGCCAGCGATTGCAAGATTTATCAACGCAACTCAACTGCAATTGAACGCAAATACAATAAGTAGGGCAAGACGAAGCAAGTGTAGGACGGATTAAGTGGTCAGAAGATTCAAGCTTCGCTTTATAGGATAACCGTGATCGATTAGAAGATCACACCAAGTACTCGGTCGATCTTGTGAAGATTTACACAAGATCATTAGCCCCCCTATCCCTAACACAATTAGGATCAACGCCCAACCGACGAGTACACAAGGTGAGGAAGGATATCCACACGGAATCGGGGTACTTTCTCCGTTAGTCGGTCGTCCGGGCGCCAGTGGAGAGCTGGAATCGCATCAGCATTGTGCAAATCCCACTCCACCACATACCTTGTTCGACCTGCCCGTTAAGTATCGCATACTTAACGGGTACGTGTAACGTTGAGTCCGTTACACATGTATTAAAATCCTAACTAGCAAGGCTGGTTTCTCGTTCTAGTTCAGGTTATAGAGCCAGGTCAATTTCGGGTGACGGCTCTCGAGTTGTATGGCTATGACACTTCGACATAGCACCTAACGGGTTCCCTTGTATTTTCGTGTCTGTTTTCGCCGGCACTCTCGCTTCACGACGGCTCAAAGTTGCTTCCTGCTGATTTCTCGAAATGTATGAGTGCTACGGCGATAATCACGTTCACTTGCTGGAACGTCACTCGATTGCGTTGTGTGGACAAGCTGGTGCTACAAATGCTGCTGAGAATGTGCCAAACGGGCGGCGTATGCAGCCACCTCGTCCGGTGAGGTCTAAGTAAGTATGGGATATACGGGTAATTTGGTTAAAATTTAAATAGGGGTGCTTTGTCTAAGGCTTAAATAAATCTGAGAAGATCTAGGCATACGTCGTGTATATTATCTGTATATTATCCAGTCTCTAATCGAAAACTGAAGCGTTTTTGACGAAATGGCAGTTCAAAGCTCCGTGACGAAGCGTCTTTGGCGGCTATTGCCGCAGTCGAGTGCTCTTTTTGTATGTGACGTACAAGAAATATTTCGCAGTCTCACGCTCCAGATGCCGATTGTTATCCATGGCACTAATACTATAGTACGTACGTTAAAAAGATAAAAATCCACGCGATTTTGACATCTGATATAAATTTAATCCAGATAAATTTGATTCAGATATTATATTGACAATATGTTTTATCTAGTATCCAGATCTCCTGCAGCCAAGCTTTTGAACATTCCAATGGTCGTAACAACACAATACAGTTCCCGTCTAGGTACTACCGTATCAGAAATCTCAAAATATCTCAAGGACGACCGGTCAACGATGGGCCTGCAGTCGTCGTTTCTTGTGGTGTCGTATCACGTGATGGGCAGAAAGTCACTTTGTAGTTCGTGCCAAACGGACACGAGTGTGTCTTGATGTCGTCCTTTGGAAAAGTGTACGCGTCCTCGCAGCCGTCAGCCAGACACGTGAGTTCACGGCAGTTTTTACCGTTCGTGTTGGAAATGGGTGTGATCTGAATGGGAGTGTTGAAACCAATGCCGCTTTTGGAGTGTTGCTTGCACTCGTCAAGGGTCTTGCAAGACTCAAAGCCGGGATTCAGATTCGGCGGGATGATGTTAAGGTTATACGAAACCTCGCGAAAGACGTTAGTAGTAGAAATCCCAATGAGCGTGGCAGCGTCGTCCGAACCGTTACGGAAGTAACCTTCGTAGCCCCTTCTAATGGTTTTGACGACCGAACCACCCGAGATGATTGTATCAATCTTCGTCCGTGGGGATGTTGAAGATGTTGGTGAGGTGAGTGTACAAGTCGATGTTGGTCGAACACTCGTTCATGAAAGTTATCTTGAAGAATGAGTACTTTTGCACTAAAAGGCCGCCGGCAGTGCCGACTGCGGCCGCTGCAACGAAATGGAGCATGTTGATGAAGATGAAGAGGTGTCGTTGGTAGTGGGGAAGTTGATAAATGACATTGAGTTGCAGACGCTCAGAACTTCCATGCCTAATATTTTCAGCACCCACGTAGATAAACACAAGCCTCTCTGACGACAACATGCCCGATTGCAACAAGTCTTTCTTGTTTTGGTTCAATGTCTGAATCGACAGCTGTGACTTTGATTCCTTGACTTTCTACAGTCGATGGTATTGAAATGGGTTGAACAACTGTTTGCAATCGACGATTGAAAGTCGAGTGGCAGCATTTGTTCGTTTCCAGGGCGAAGTGACATGAGCCAACTGGAAGATGGTCTTGACTCGACGAATGTGATATTGACACATACGCTCTATGGCCAAAGTACAACTGTAACTCGTTGAGCTCGACAGCAATTCCGAGAGATGACGTGAGCTTCATAGCCTTTTTCTAGTAAATCAAAGACACGTTTGCAATACGGACACGTGTGTCTCAATACCACAAAAGAAGAACTGACTTTACGTTGTGGCTACGAACATTGAGAACTTCATTTTGTCAACCATCTTGATGTTTTGTGCGTCCTTGAGATTCATAAGAGATTTCAGACACGGTAGTGTCCAAACAAGAACAGTTTTGCAGAGCTTATAGCTGCCCATATTGTTGACTACAAGAAAAAAAGGAATATTATACTCAAGTAGATGAAGTGTGTCAAAACTCTAGACAAATCACTCCTATCTCGCAGTACTAGACCCAAGTACTTAGGCGCAGTGCTTAAATGCAGTGCTCAGACGTGGGAACCACTTCGGTTGCAGGATTGTCAGCTGCAGGTGCAGGAGGCCCAGCTACAGGTGCAGGGGTGTCATCCTTCTTGGTCGCCTCAGAATCCACAACGCCCGATGGACCATACGCGGATTCAGCCTGTTCAGGAGAATTCGTAGCCTGGTCGTCCGCCGTCACAGGTGCCGTCGTCTCTTGTTGTTCCTGCTGTTGTTCCTGCGGTTGTTGGTTGCTTCCCATCACCCCCTGATGGGCAGAAAGTCACTTCAAAGTTCGTGCCAAACGGACACGAGTGTGTCTTGATGTCGTCCTTTGGAAAAGTGTACGCGTCCTCGCAGCCGTCAGCCAGACACGTGAGTTCACGGCAGTTTTTACCGTTCGTGTTAGAAGTGGGTGTGATCTGAATGGGAGTGTTGAAACCAATGCCGCTTTTGGAGTTTTGCTTGCACTCGTCAAGGTTCTTGCAAAACTCAAAGCCGGGATTCAGATGCGATGGGATGACGCTGAGGTCAAACCAGACAACGTGGAGGTCGCCCTTCGTAGCAATTTCAAGGAGCGTGGCAGCGTCGTTCGAACCGTTTCGGAAGTGACCTTCAAAGTCCTTTCCAATGGTTTTGACGACCGAACCCCCTGGGGCGATGCACTCATTCTCGTCCGTGTAGACGCTAGCGAGGCGATTGTACAGGTCAATGTCGACCGGGCACCCGTTTTTAAACGTTATCGTGAAGTCAGAACCGGCCAACGTGAGCACCGCGGTCGAGGCGGCCATTGCAGCGAAGGCATTAGCTAGAGTGACGAGACGGACCATGGTGATGTTGTTGCTAGTTGGTAGTGAGTGGCAAAGGCGTTTTGGTACTGGAGAAGTTGTCGGTAGTGGAGAAATTGGTTAATGAAAGTTGCGGTGCAAACGCTCAGAACTTTCGTCCAGTAAGTACCACATGGACAACCAAACGCCAGTCTCTGACCATGTGAACACTGAACAAATCCGATACGATGGACAAGGTATTCTTGTGTTTGGTTTTGTATTCTTAGAATTGGTGGATGGCCAGAAACAATGGTATGGGATTCTTGACACCTGTTTACAAAATCGACGGTTGAAATCACGTGGCAGCATTTGTTCGTTAGGAAGACGAAGTGACAAGAAGAAGTTGACAATTTGACGTTGTGTGGGTGCAATGCACATTTACGGACGGATGGTAGTGCATGCTACGCTAATCATCGAAGCTCTCTTTCACATATCGTAGACGTGTCGTACGCCACTCCTTCGACACGTATCGCTCTGACAATGACCACTGTCTCTCAATGACGTACTGTGCTATAGCATTGTTGCTATAAACGTATGGTAAATGCTAGCCACAAGCTCGAGACAGATGTAGCCAAACATAGAACACACCTGGTATAGCAAGTGTAGGTTTAGATGACAATGACACAGCACGTATCCCTTATACATATTGGACTACATTTTACAGACTTGGCAAATAGTGGAGACACTTTTGAGTCGAGTGTTATTGTACGTACGCATTGATGTTAGCGCTATCGGTACATTGATGTGTACGTGGAAGAATACTTTTCGTTTAATAGCCTGGAAACGTTCGTCTTGCAGTACGACATCCATACCTAGCATCATCAGTGGTTGATTGTAGGGGGGGGGGTGATGCGTCTGATGTACATGCAAGATAGGATGATGTATATGCATGTGTGCGCGTGTGCGCGCGTGTCTATAGACAGGTGTACAAGATACATTGGAAGATTGTGGATGTCGTGCCTAAGGTTTGACTGAACCAGCTCAAAGGTCCTAGGTTCGATACGCAGAGGATTAACTAACCAGCATAGGAAGAAAGCATACTGTACACGTCATAGAATAAAGAGAGAGAAAGTGCACAGCATTCTACAATCACGCTAGTACTTGGTGTAGTAGTGTCGAGTATTGACAATTCAATTACTTTCTACTGTTTTTCGTATGTACCTAGGCATACTTCATTGAAAGCTATGAAAGACATTCACCATATGTTGCATTGCATAGCAAGTGTATCTACAAAGTTATATCCTCATCAAGCAAACCAAGTCTTGTTCGACAACGACTACTCTCGGAATATCATTTATAAAGCAATTGGTTCAGATGCCGTGACATTTTTTTTTAAGAAATAAAGCGAGCTCAAAGTTCTAAAAGTAGATTGGGTTTAGAACGTATCAAATGTATTCTGACTCGTCCCTCTTTTTTCATCACCCCACCTTCTCCCTCTCTTCAATGCCCCTTTGGTCTTAAAAAGACTTCATTCCTTTTAATTCCACCAATCTCCCTCGCTAATTCTTCTTCTAATATGGTACTTACAGATAAACAACGACAAGACCTGTACGTCTCTCTCTCTCTCTCTATTTCTCTACTACATGATCATTAATCTGTCTTCTATAGCCATCAGGCAATGCTTGATTATCTTGTAGGAATGGGTGAACGGTTTACAGACACAGCTACAGCTTTTGAAAATGAAGCAGACGTGACAAAATCCAGTGATGGAAAACATGCAGGTCTATTGGAAAAGAAATGGACATCTGTGATACGTTTACAACGTAAAGTAATGGAGTTGGAGACAAAAGTGGTTCAGCTTGAAGAAAATGCCAAATTAGGCGGTGTTTTGAGTCGTAGGGACGTGCTAGGAGCTCGTCAACGCTTGGAATTTCTACCACGTGCACCAGCCAAGTTCTCATTAACAGGCCATCGCTCACCTGTTACTTGTGTGGCTTTCCATCCAGTTTTTAGTGTTTTGGCTTCAGCTAGTGAAGATGCATCCGTGAAAGTCTGGGACTTTGAGACGGGCGAGTACGAGCGGACACTCAAAGGACATACGAATCCTGTGCAAGCGGTGACATTTAATGGCTCTGGTTCATTGCTGGCATCGACATCGACGGATTTGTCCATCAAGATTTGGGACTTTTCGAGTGATGGAGATTATGAATGTCTAAGGACGTTACGTGGACATGACCATAATGTCTGTGGGATTGTATTTGGACCAGACCTTTCAAGTGATCGACTCTATTCGTGCTCACGTGATAATACGATCAAAGTGTGGGAGTTGTCAACTGGCTACTGTGTCAATACACTTAACACTGGCCATAGTGACTGGGTGCGTGACGTTGCCGTGAGTGACGATGGACTGTATCTGGCTTCATGTGGCAATGATCGTTCCGTTCTTTTTTGGGATCTGCAGCACATGCGCATTTTACAATCGATCCGAGAACACGAGCATGTTGTAGAGAGTGTCGTTTTCGCCAAGACAGGCATTCAACAACAGATAATTGAACGGACACATGCCAAGAAACTCGCAGCTTCAGGTGCGTTTGCTCCAGCTCACGGAAACATCTCGCCGGAGTCTAGTAACCACGACATGGCTAGTAGTACGGCAGGAGAGCCGACGGGAGCGGTGAGTGTTCCTACAGTCCGCCGTATGAAGTTTCTTCTGTCGGGATCGCGTGACCGTACAGTTCGTCTTTGGGAAGCTTTCAGCGGAATGCAGCTTATGCTTTTTGCAAGTCACGAAAACTGGGTGCGCGAGGTTCGCTTTCACCCTAGCGGAAAGTACGCACTCAGTGCAGGCGAGGACAAGACCATTCGCGTCTTTGACATTGAGGTAAGAGGGTTTTGTTGATACATATATCATGCTGATGTGCTGACAAATTTTTGTCATTGTTGCGTGCAGACTGGTCGCTGCGTGCGGACACTGGATGAGGCACACAGCCATTTCGTGACGTGCCTCGACATCCACCCGAGCCTTCCACTGATCATTTCAGGCGGCATCGATAAAATCATTAATGTGTGGGAATGTGTATAAAGGTAGGAGCAGCGCCAGTGCTCTTCAGGTTTCTATGAGCTACTAATCTGAAGTGATGCAGCTGGTATGAAAGTAAATTTAGCTATCCTCGTATGAAAGTAAACTTAGCTGTTCTTGTTGAGCAATCGCTTGCTTGGCCAACCCGTTGCTGCAGCAATGAAGACTCGGTGAGATGAATTGTTTTGCGTGATGAAGTACAATCTGCTTGACACTTAGGGTCAATATCGGCTAGAGAGGAGTAGAGTGGTAGCAGCATTTTGCTTGACTGATCCATCTCCCTGGTGCGCAAGGGAGATGCATCAGTGATCTTACCAAGCTTTCTCGAGTTTTGGTGCACCAGCATCACCTCTAGCAATCTGCAACTTTGCAGCGCTCATCGCCTTGTTCTTAAGTCTGCTAAATCCTGCAGTAGGTAACAAGAACACCCTCACGCATAGTGTACATGACCCTAGCAATGTTTTTTTGTTTCATCGAAATATTACCGCAAGTTATAATCGGTCTACCAAAAGGATGGCTTCCTCATCCCCTCCCTTTTGTCCAGCTCTTCCAATCCATGACGAAGTGGTCGAATTCCAGCTACTGCAGTCGTTCAAAGCGAATGTCGACGAGTTCTCTTTATCCATGACAACAACAAGACGAAACAAAACTTGTGCATTACTGACACTATTGTCTGCTTTGTTTTCTTGCTGCTCGATAGAAAATTGTTCATCGCATCATGCTCGTCACTACAGCCGAATAGTAGAGACCGCTTATCTCAGACGTCGAGCCTCACGCTCCCACTCAAGCAGGCAGAGGATATCACCTTCACGCACGGGTCCCTTGACATTGCGAATGATCTTACGCTTGTCATCCTGAAGGAATTCCACACGTACTTGAGTCACATTACCCGTGTTACCCGTGCGTCCGAGGACATTCACGACTTTAGCCAGCATATAGTCACGAGGGGCATCCTACAGTAATACCTCTAGTTAGTCATACTCTTCTCTCTATTTACTGATATTGTCTTGCAGTGCTAGACGACGCTCTGAGGCCACTGCTGTAATTAAAACAAGATAGTAGCGTAGCTTATCGCTTTGCTAGACTTTAATCTGTCATTGCGCAGCCTCTAAGCGTCCGTTAGACACGGTAAAAGTGAGAGGAGAAGGAGATGCATCTATGAAAGATGATCACTCAGACCAATACTGCATGGGCAATGCATAGAACGTTTAAGAAGCTTACCATTTTCGCGTTAGATGTCGATGAGGTAGTGCAGTAGAAGGCGAGGAATGGTGCACAAGAGCTGCTCGCAAGGAGCGCTTAAATTTGTATGATTGCATAATCTGCTACGTTTGCGATCCTCTTTGGTTTAATATGTTGTAGTATCTGATAATTTATTGGTTGGTTAAATATAGAAGTAGACGTGATGTGAGTGGTCTATTCTAAAATGAACGACTTTGATTGGACGGCAAGTTATGGAGATCCCGTCATAGACGATTTAAATGGCTATTGGGTACCTCAGGTAAACCTCCTCGAGGAAATAGTGTTTATGAATCTTTGTGATTATATGTTAATTCAGCCAATCATAAGACTTATTGCTTCGCGGGAACATATTAAAGCCCGCTTAAGCAAGACCAGTGTGGACCAACCAATCAATTGACCTGTTTGTCACTATTCTTCCTCGACAGACTGACTCAATGGCTACATTAAAGACGTTGGTCGGTCTGCCTGGACATTGGGAACTGATTGTCTGTGAATAAACAATGATATGACTCTTGCTGGTGAGAAGGACTGGCGATCATGGCGGTTTCTTACTAATTAGGCCAGATCATTGTGCACACAACAAGCTTTACTGGACCCATGGACTCACGACAGGGTGCTTCAACCAGGTGGTGAACACCGGCAAACACGTCGTGACGACATCAGTCCGCTCCAAAGCAAAAGCAGTGTACCTGCACGTGGTAAGGCCGTCAATACCTGGACTCAGCTAATGTCGTCGCAGACGAGGTATGCTGCTTCCATTTAAAGACACTACAGCTTTATGTCAGATCACTTGTGGAAAAGAAAAGCTGACATCGTAAAGATGGATCCGTATCATTGATCTTCAGTTCGATCTCACTTCTTCCTGTTAAAGCGAGAGGCAGACAAATTAGGCTACATCTTATGGCGCAAGCCCTTGATCTCGCACGGTCTTATAACGTCGGCCTTCTAGGCATCCTGCAGCTACTACCTCGCTGAATGGTGTTGAGTTGGGTGCAACAAATGCGTCTACGATAACTACTCCACTGGGACTCATGGCTAAATGATACAAAAAGATGTGCAGCTGTTTCGAAATATTGCTTCAGGTAAGCTGCATCTTCTTGTGGAATTCCTGCGTCAGCTCATCTAGCGTCAAGTCCGGATTGGCCTGGAAAAAGTCCAAAAAGGCCTGTGCACCTGCAGCTCTATCGGCATTGGTGGCTCCCTTCTCTTCGGCTTCATATACGAGGCTCTCTGCTTCGGATAGTAGCTCCTTCTTATCGTAGTATTCCGGATCGGCCACACGTTTCATAAGATTGAGAAACTGCTCGTACTCACAACAGGCCATCAAGATCTGCACGAAAAAGCTGAGTCTCGTGTGTCGCTGCCGCTCTTCCGAGATTGCAATCTCTTCATCACAGCGAGTGGTATACTGGTCCATAGTAAACCCTCTCTCTGCCAGGAACGCTTCGATTTTAGCATTTGCCGTGTCAATAAAAGCCTCGTGCAGTTCCTTCCACATTCTGACAACATTTAATCGATCCTTTAGTACCTAGATAGACAGAAAAAAGACAACAACTACACTCACAATTCGACCTTATCAAGGTCAGCAGCACAAGGTCCTCCTTTGGTGAGCAAAATGGAAAAATGACTCGCATGGGCATTACAAAAGTCGTTAATGGATTCCTGAAAACTTTCACTGCCCACGTATGCGGCCACCCACTCAAGTACGTCATCATCTGGCTCCATGTCCTTCACAAGTGGTGTCTCATAGCGTAATAGGAGGTCAATCGCATCAAAGTTGGCCATAAGGACGATAAAAAGAGGGGATCACGAGGAAATAGTAAATGCGATTGTGGCTCTTCTCTCCCTGGTAAATACACTGGCAATTTGTATACAAGTATACAAACACGAGATTCACTTCCAAAAACAAGTGCGAGATGACGACCATACCTTTTCTAATGCATGCTGCATGTGTTTCGACAGGTCGATTCGTACAAAAAGAATCCACATGGCTACATTCAATACACACTGGAACAGCAGTGCTACAAAGGCTACTTAATCGCGTACTTTATACCGGTATCGATTCGGTATTATCCTCTTCATCGAGTCTCACCTGCCATGGCGACACCTACGTCACGACCGTCAAGTATTGCTATCGATGACGCGAGTGACGGGACATTATACGCACCAACGTCACCAGTTGCAGCTACGATTGACCTTTCTCTCTCTCCCCCACATTTGAATGAAGAGGTTGAAGATTGTAACTTGGCATCCGCTTCGAAACTGATTCCATTGTCCATGACAGACTCAGTCAGTGGAGAACGTCCTTTACCATCGCTACACTCTCCACTAGTGTATCGTGATGTTGTATTTGCTGCAATCTTTATGGTACATCTGATTCTGATGCTCGTCGTAACTGGCAGTATTCGTGCGGATGGTGGTATACGACAGGGACATGAGAACGAACGCAAGGACATTGTCGGTGATTTACAGACTTCACGTGACAATGACTCGAGCTTGGACGAAGCAGATGTTGGTGTAGTGTTACGCTCGCTCAGTGTTGTCAATGTACTGTTTGCAATGGGCTGGCTCTTGGTGTTTCTGTTCTATTCCAAGCTTCGATTCGTACAAGGCTCGTGTATTTTTTCCATAACGGGACTCTTGGCACTTGCAATGATGCTATTTCTATTGGATTCCAACGATGGAATCTTTTGGGGAATCATATGTGCGGGTGTTGTCGTGCTGGAATTGGTGTGGTACGTCCGTTCCAATCATAATCTGGACTTTGTCGCAGTGTTCTTTGAACTGGTCGTGGACTTTCTTGTGGCACATCCGGCTCTTGGCTATGCGACAATTGCTACACTGATTGCGTATACAGTGTGGGCTAGTTGGATTTGTACAACAATTGGATATATTGGTCGGGATGTCTCGCCCTGGAGTTTCGCCATGATTTATTTGGTTTTCCATTTCTACTGGATGTCAAATGTGTTCAAGAATATTATCACAATTGTTGCCTCAGGCACGACTATGATCTGGTACTACCACAATGAGTCAACCGAGATCTCGCCTGATGTTGTTTGTGAAAACGTTGCAGACCATGACACACTGAGTGATGACACCACTGGCGAAACACAAGAGCAAAATGGAGAGCATCTTGACCGGAAGGTGGTGTTGCACTATGTACGCTGCGCATTGTCGAGCTCGTTTGGATCAATTTGTATCGGCTCGCTGTTGTGTCCACTGGCACATGTAGTCTGGAATGCTCTGCGCTGGGCTCGACGAGACGAGTCAGTGTTGTCACAGCGATTCATCTCGCTTCGTTCGGAGCGAGTGGAGCACTTTATTCGCACGTACCACAAGTACTCTTTTGTGCACATTGCTGGCTATAACAAGCCGTATTATGTAGCAGCGCATGACGCATGGAAGTTGATCGAACATCACGGCGTTGAGGCAATTGTAGATGACGATTTGACTAGCCGCATTTTGCTGCTAGGTGGTAATGGCTGGGCAGGTGTCATGAGCGCACTGACTGCGTCAGCATTGCGTGGTGCATCATCGCACGCGATCTTCTTTACACTAGCATCATTCACACTCTGCTACACGACCATCTCCCTGGCCACGCAAGTAACTGCAGCTGTTATCAAGACGTTATTTGTGTGCTTTGCAGAGAACCCGGAACGACTGAGTCAACTGCATCCACTCATTTACCACCGGTTTGTACGACTGGCCGAACTCAAGAGTTTTCGTGATCACAAGGCACCAGCCAGTACTCGTGCATAGTATGGAACATATAACGAGCTTTGCAACAAGTGGTAGATGAAGAAGGTGCAGTATCAATTAATAAAGCTCTACAATGTAGGACACGAAATGGATACCCACCTACTTGATTGGATCATACAAATTCAAAAGGGCTGGATCGGGCTCATTGGAAAAGACACACATGGAGAACAACAAGTACCTGCTCGTCTTGATGGCTTTATCAGCTACTGGAACGTGTCTTGTTCCAGTTTTTGGTCTACTCGTACGATTCCAGCCACAATTTACACATGGATTCGACGTGCATGCCAGTAATGCAGAGATGAATTGCTACATTGTGGGTACTTTGTACGCCGGTGTGTTCCTGATCTGTGGTTTCATGCTCAAGACTCGTGATTGTTTGAGTAAGAAACGAAAAGAGGCCGTGGACGATATTACCAAGAGAAATGAACGCTATAAACTTCCATTCCCAGAGTTGGAGAACAAGGAGTTTGTCCGAGCTATGGATGCTATGGACAGGAGAGCTACAATAGTAGCTCCGATACACAAGAAAGCACTTGAGCTGTTGACAATGTTTCCAGATAAAGTAATGACAGTGTAACCTTACTGAATTGGCACTAGCCAAGACAGACACGTAGCTATTCATCACTTGAATGTTATAACGAGAGGTGAGATCTATGAGCTCTCGTAGAAGTGCCAAAGTGCACGAGTACAATACAATCACGGCCAGAAAGAAGCACGATAAAGCTCGACGTTAATAATATGCAGCGTTAAGGTCCTCTCTCTCTCTGCTGGCATGTAGAGCACAGCACGCTGACCTTTTTCACGAATCCGTACCTTCATCCGACAGATTTAGTTTAACAGAAGCGGTCTAGTAGTTCTTCACGTGTTGTACGCCATTGTGGTGATCTCGCTGCATTCCGTGCATGTCTCCACCGTCATGTCATTGTGTAAGACTGCACAAGTCTAGCAGCCATGGTGCTCCGTTATGTCGATTCTGCTTGGTGCATCTCTAGTGCAATAACGATATGTAGCCGAGAAACAAGCTTGACTACTTTTGAAGATGACTGACGACGGGAAAGCTTCTTTCAGCGACCATGTCAGCGTCGAAAACCTCAAGTTCGTAGTTTGCCTGGATCTCGAGGTCTTTGCACGCTGACATGGGTCGCCCCAAATGGGATGAGGTCCAAGTTGACGTGGCTGGAACCCTTTCGACAGTCGTGAGTACTAGACAAACGATACTGCGAACGAGACGTGATTTACAATGTGCAGCCGGCGGTGAGCCGAAACTGACCAAGATCGAAGGTATTGACATCTTTGGCTAGCGTTGATAAGCATCAGCACGCTGATGACCTTCTGTTAACACGTCAAGTCATCGTACCAGATCGGGGTTTACCCATTGATGTTGCATTTTTACATGTCATATAGGTTTGATGACTCTATGATTCTGGATCACGTTCCAGAGCTATAGACAAGTAGCCACCTTGCTAGAATCCGCTACGTTAATGATACAAGGTGCCTCTGCTGCGACCCGTCATATTGTTTCTCCATTTTCGTGAAGCACCATTATGGTCGCAATTTGTAAACTTGACCTAGTACGTACACTTTCATGATTAGACAATGGAGAGAGAAACTTGAATTGTCATAATTAGATAAGAATATATTGCACATGTACAGGCAACGTTTAAGCTGCTTTAGCGTACACTTTCTTGCCGGTTGCATTGATGTAGTACTTGCCTCCGCGAGGGCCAATGTGAAATACACGGTCAGCATCCTTTCCAACCTCGTCAACACCTCTGTCAACATCTTCAACATCTTCTTCATCATCTTCGTCAACGTAATCGCTGTCTTCCGAAGATGAGTTGACGAATGAAGCAGACTCTTCGCTTGAAAGAGGGGCCGATTTTCGTATAGTCTTTGTTGCTACCGTGCGAGGATGATTTTTCTTTTTCCGATCCAGCTTGGTCTTGGGCTTTGCACTTCCAGTCTGGTGTGACGTTTTCGTCTTCGCCACTGATTTTTTCTTTTTCCCTTTTACCTGGACTTTCGGTACCAAGGAACGTGGAGGCTCCTGGGGTATTTGCCTTGACGTTAAAGTGGATCGAGTGGCATGCGCCAGTGTTTTCGTGCTGCGCGAATGGAATATTTTAGCTGCCAAGCGAGAAAATGGGTTTCGATGTTTCTTTTCAGAAAACGTGGATGCAGTTACCGATGAGTGATTCACCATTCTAGGTTCTGGATCTCGTTTCTTTGCTGGTGACGGAGGGGTTCTAGGTTGTCGTGGTGCTGGTGACGGTGAGCGAAATCTTGAGCGAGGAAGATGTTTAAGCTCGAGCTTGTCCTTTTCAGTGTCCCACAGCTTGGGTCGATCCCCAACATTCACCAAATGAAATTGCTGGCGTAAGCTCGCATACAAATAGTGACCATTGGCTGCAATCATGGCGTCTTGAAAGTTCTTTTCTTGGGCATGCTTTGCAATCTGAACCAGTCGGTCGTATTCAATTGCCGATGTTTTACGCTGGCATTTACTATCAACAACCGTACCTTTTAACGATGCAGGTATCTCAATAGCATTAATCAGCATTGCATCCACCTTTTTGTGCAAAATCTGATTACTTGTTGCCAGTACAAGCCGGAGATTGCTTGGGTGGTTGAGAATTTCACGCAATTCTTCTCCCATCCGGTGCTCGACCGATAGCCGTTCATTAAGCCGAAGCATGACCTCTAGTCCAATATAATGTGCTGCCTCAAGTTTGTCTTTATTTGCAGCATCCGAGCTATCACGACACGCCTGTTGTTTTCCAGGCATTCGTAAATTACGAGTATGTAGTGGCACATTTGGTAGTGCATTGAACTCACCTCGATCATACATTTTAGCCAGCAAAGCTTCACTGTATTCACTTAGAGCTGCCGAGACCATGGCAATCTCTAAAATCTCATCTTTTGTATATTTTTCACCTGTTTCGAGTGACCCGATCGCATTTTCAATCCAATCGAGCAAGTCTTTTTTGCTTTTACTTGTATGTCGACCCACTTCTCGAGCTAATGACATATGGTGGTTCTTAAAGTAGTTTCGATATTTACAAAACCGATCATTGTCACTCGCGTGAAGTATTTGCGCGCGTCGCGTATTCGACGGACAATAAAGGTCTTTGACTGTAAACTCGGCACGTGCTTCTGCAGAAATATCAATGATGGGATCGTGTTTATCGGATGCAGATGCATTGGAATGGTTCTTATTGTTTGATGACTGAAGACGTGAGTGCTTTGATCCCATTTCGTAAACTGTAGCGTCTGCTAGAGGCAAGACGTAAAGTAGCCGTTACCTGATTTTCCTGCTAGGTGATCGCTATTGTGGTCATTATTGGGAGGGAGAGCGAGCATGTCGCAGCTGTATTGCAATACCGCATGTCCAGCTTAACATCTGGTGATTTACATTTAATCATCGTGTTTTAACAGATTATCGTGCTGAAACTTATACTGACAAGGTTGTAATTATCTCGTCGTAATTAAAGAGAATATTAGGATGCGTAATAACGCAAATATTACCAAACAATGTAAATTTTACTTTAATCATGACATGCGTTATACAGAAATATGGTACAAATTACATAAATGTTATGTCATCGAGAAATAAGGACAAGTTAACTTCAACTAGAGCCCTTTCATTAGACGACTAATCGTACAGGGCTCAATTGCTCGATATTATTAGTATATAGATTATAAACTTAGTCGTTCCTCTGGAAACCAGCGGCGAACTCGTTAAACGCACGAAGAAAGCGGTTGTCCGCCCAATTGACCTTGGCACCATTGGCCAAATGTGTCGGAGCATCTTCAATATTACGAAGCGCGCGGTTCTGACATCCGTCGTTGCTCTCACTGGCATTTTTGGATGTCGTACTGGCAGGAATCACGGCGTCTTGCACCTGAGTCTGCGACTGCGACTGCGGCTGCGACTGCGGCTGCGATTGCGTCTGCGACTGTGACTGCGGCTGCGACTGCGACTGCGATTGCGTCTGCGACTGCGACTGCGGCTGCGTCTCCGTCTGCGTCTCCATCTGCGTGCTAGCGGGAGTCACGGGGCCTGGCACCTCTGTCTTTATGTCAGCTGGCTTCACTGTACCTTGCACCTCCGTCTGCGTCTGCATCCCCGAGTTGTTCATAATAGGCACGCACTGCTTGTAGACCTGCCACTTGATCTCGTGAAGCGCCAGCCAGTAGAATCGCAAGATGCAATTACCTGAGCACTTGAAAAAGTCAACCTTCACATTGGCTGGATATCCGGAGCCATAGGCCGCGACACAATCATCCTGGTGGTCGACCATAATGTCATCAATCCAGACTTCACACGGGCCATGGTGCGAGTCAATAAATCCTTTTTGTTCCTCGTCGTTTTGCCACTTCATGACAGTAAGACCAGATACATCAACTGGTGAAGTGTCCGTCCGAGTGTTGGCACAGTCCGAGACTTGCTGGTCGAGCATGTCTCGCAGTGACTTATAGCCCGTATTGACGAATGCAGAGGTAAAGGTGGCAACGTTTGCTTCTGGACTGTCATCCCACTTAAGGCCCCCAAAGGCGCTATTGACGTCGGCTGTAATGGTCTTGACGTATTTGGTTAAGATGGACTCGTCAACAAATTTAGCAAGTGGATTGGAAACGTATCCATGTGCGTCGACGGTATTAAAGGCAAATGCAGCCATGGCCACAGTTGTGCAAGCGGCGGAGAAAGCTCGTTGCATTGTTGCGATGTGGAAAATGTAGCTCTGGATAAATCGATGGCAAATTGAGTAATGGTTGAGATCTACGATCTCACTAGTTTGGCTTCGCAGTGATAAGAAACAGCGTGCTATTGTCCTTTGATTCATACGTCAAGTCTTAGTACCACATGTAAATTTATTTGGTGGTGTTGAACGACGCACGATCAAACATTTCGCTAGGAGTCAAGCAAACTCAACCTATGGGGTAAGTTCCACGCCAATCGGAAGAGATGAGGGGCCAGAACACGAGGCTCAAGGTTTAACATCCTCAACAGTTTTACGGGTTCGTCAGTCAGGATAGATGGGACAATTCAGTAACTTTTTTTGATGGCTGATCGTCGGAACGACGACTAAGAAAGATACTTGCTACATGTAATGCAACAGCTGCAAAAGAGCGTGGGGCCAGAACACGAGGCTCCTGAATGATTGCAAGGAACATGCTGATCGCCGGGAGGCGTCAACGTAGGTGACTAAGAAATGTAGTCTCACATGTGATGTAACAGCTGAAAAAGCTATTTTGGTTGCGTCTGACCAGTAGAGGGCGTACCTGCTTGTGAGTGAAGCCTCACGTATTGACTTCGTAGTAACAATACAATCGAACACCTCGAGCAGTTTCATCTACGGAAACTTTTATTGTAAATTGCAGCTTCATTTCTACAAGTGATACAATTTTTATAACTCTTATACGTGCATTATCAATGTCTCGGAGTCTTCAGCCATACCTCTGGCTGAAGACGAATAGCCATCTTACTCGAGTCTGCTACGAAATTTTACCTTCAAGTGCGGTTTTCGATCAAAGCTATTGTAAAGGTTCGCTTGCATGAGGTGCTCTGACCTTACACTCTTGCTAAGTCGAATTGCAAGCCGATCATAAAGGCTATGATTTATGCCAAAAGTGACAAAGTTCTTGTGCAACTTTGGTACATTTACTATCCACTGAACGAACAATTCATGTGCAACTCGACCAAGTGTACTCCTTGCCTTGCTTGTTAATGTCCGTCGTCGGTGGCACGTGTGCGAATAGTATTAGATGCTATGGTTGACGTCTGCAGCAACCAGCGTGCAATGGTTGGACTATAATTGCAGTATCTTGGGCCAAAGATATTTCCATTATGCCGATAACATACTAGCGAGTGGGCCAAATACAACCTCTTTTTGCCCATACTTTCTCGTATCTCTAGAGCGATCAAACATCTGTTACTTGCATGTGTTGATTCTGTGTTCTTTTCTCCTACGTTACAATACGTGAGGCTTCACTCACAAGCAGGTACGCCCTCTACTGGTCAGACGCAACCAAAATAGCTTTTTCAGCTGTTACATCACATGTGAGACTACATTTCTTAGTCACCTACGTTGACGCCTCCCGGCGATCAGCATGTTCCTTGCAATCATTCAGGAGCCTCGTGTTCTGGCCCCACGCTCTTTTGCAGCTGTTGCATTACATGTAGCAAGTATCTTTCTTAGTCGTCGTTCCGACGATCAGCCATCAAAAAAAGTTACTGAATTGTCCCATCTATCCTGACTGACGAACCCGTAAAACTGTTGAGGATGTTAAACCTTGAGCCTCGTGTTCTGGCCCCTCATCTCTTCCGATTGGCGTGGAACTTACCCCATAGGTTGAGTTTGCTTGACTCCTAGCGAAATGTTTGATCGTGCGTCGTTCAACACCACCAAATAAATTTACATGTGGTACTAAGACTTGACGTATGAATCAAAGGACAATAGCACGCTGTTTCTTATCACTGCGAAGCCAAACTAGTGAGATCGTAGATCTCAACCATTACTCAATTTGCCATCGATTTATCCAGAGCTACATTTTCCACATCGCAACAATGCAACGAGCTTTCTCCGCCGCTTGCACAACTGTGGCCATGGCTGCATTTGCCTTTAATACCGTCGACGCACATGGATACGTTTCCAATCCACTTGCTAAATTTGTTGACGAGTCCATCTTAACCAAATACGTCAAGACCATTACAGCCGACGTCAATAGCGCCTTTGGGGGCCTTAAGTGGGATGACAGTCCAGAAGCAAACGTTGCCACCTTTACCTCTGCATTCGTCAATACGGGCTATAAGTCACTGCGAGACATGCTCGACCAGCAAGTCTCGGACTGTGCCAACACTCGGACGGACACTTCACCAGTTGATGTATCTGGTCTTACTGTCATGAAGTGGCAAAACGACGAGGAACAAAAAGGATTTATTGACTCGCACCATGGCCCGTGTGAAGTCTGGATTGATGACATTATGGTCGACCACCAGGATGATTGTGTCGCGGCCTATGGCTCCGGATATCCAGCCAATGTGAAGGTTGACTTTTTCAAGTGCTCAGGTAATTGCATCTTGCGATTCTACTGGCTGGCGCTTCACGAGATCAAGTGGCAGGTCTACAAGCAGTGCGTGCCTATTATGAACAACTCGGGGATGCAGACGCAGACGGAGGTGCAAGGTACAGTGAAGCCAGCTGACATAAAGACAGAGGTGCCAGGCCCCGTGACTCCCGCTAGCACGCAGATGGAGACGCAGACGGAGACGCAGCCGCAGTCGCAGTCGCAGACGCAATCGCAGTCGCAGTCGCAGTCGCAGTCGCAGTCGCAGCCGCAGTCACAGTCGCAGACGCAATCGCAGCCGCAGTCGCAGTCGCAGACTCAGGTGCAAGACGCCGTGATTCCTGCCAGTACGACATCCAAAAATGCCAGTGAGAGCAACGACGGATGTCAGAACCGCGCGCTTCGTAATATTGAAGATGCTCCGACACATTTGGCCAATGGTGCCAAGGTCAATTGGGCGGACAACCGCTTTCTTCGTGCGTTTAACGAGTTCGCCGCTGGTTTCCAGAGGAACGACTAAGTTTATAATCTATATACTAATAATATCGAGCAATTGAGCCCTGTACGATTAGTCGTCTAATGAAAGGGCTCTAGTTGAAGTTAACTTGTCCTTATTTCTCGATGGCATAACTTGTTTGTGACAGAATGTCGATTTACTGTTACGGTTGACAATATTTCTGTAAAGTCCGCAGCTATTCTAGTACCCCAAAGATGTCTTTTGCCTGAAACAAGAGCTGTGCAGTGCCGTCTGCCGGTTGACGATGATGTCGTGGAACATTTTCGTTGCTAGGCCAAGATATACTCCCATTGTCAAGGACCGTATGCATCACAGCGTATTAATTTCTCATACGGTTGTTGAACAGCGTTCTCGTATCATGCGTATTCGTTGTGAGTGGTGTTTACTGCCTTCAGCTATCTTTGCCACTTCTGGCGCCAAACTACATTCACGATTATCTTTAGATATCTAGTCGAGTAGTTTCATCTTGATCGAAATACGTTTTGATGAAAGCTTTACCTGATGTTTTAGATGATAGACGGATGCGATATATATATCACCGAAATAATGAGATTCGTTCTTACATTTTGGTTGACACAAAACGCTTTGACTACCTATCACTTCAATCAACGCAAAGCGTCATTGCGAGCGAAGTTCTTGCCGACTTTACGAGAAAAAAGATCTCATATCTCCGACATCAGAGCACATAGGAGACGAATACCCACCGCATCATAACGCAACTTGCTTCGACAAGCACAAGTACACCCGAGCGTCAAGATGATGAAGATCTCCGTACTTGCCATTGCTGCTGCGATTGCTATTGTCAATGTTTCCGCTGCCGACCAACCTGTTTTGCGTTCGGAGGCTACATCAGCGGAAGCGGTACCTGGTACGATGACAACTCCCGATAAAAACAAAAAGGAGCATTTCTGGGGCGGTGGACCTTGGGGTGGACTTGGCTGGGGAGGAGGCTGGGGCGGCTGTTGTGGTGGTTTTGGCTGGGGTCGCGGCTTTGGCTGGGGCTGGTAAGAAGGCGAAAGCCGAAACGAGGACAGTAGACGAGATCATGCACTCAATACATCAACCTTATACGCGCAGCACCCTACGATTGAATCTTCATTCCCAATTGGGGCTGAGAGTCTGGTTAGATGTGAACTCGAATTGAGCATTTCATTTTTGACAAGAATGAACTGAAGTTGATCTTTTAATTGTCTTGCTGAACTTTAAACTGTGTTATAATGCTCGATACCTCACTTGGGAATGCAAATATGGCCACTGATGGGAGCTATCCGATACATGCATCTTTCGGAAGCGATCATCAAAATGCGCATTCGTATCAGCAGTGCATGCTGGTTTCGAGATAGAAAGCACTCCCATTGTCAAGGACCGTATGCATCACAGCGTATTAATTTCTCATACGGTTGTTGAACAGCGTTCTCGTATCATGCGTATTCGTTGTGAGTGGTGTTTACTGCCTTCAGCTATCTTTGCCACTTCTGGCGCCAAACTACATTCACGATTATCTTTAGATATCTAGTCGAGTAGTTTCATCTTGATCGAAATACGTTTTGATGAAAGCTTTACCTGATGTTTTAGATGATAGACGGATGCGATATATATATCACCGAAATAATGAGATTCGTTCTTACATTTTGGTTGACACAAAACGCTTTGACTACCTATCACTTCAATCAACGCAAAGCGTCATTGCGAGCGAAGTTCTTGCCGACTTTACGAGAAAAAAGATCTCATATCTCCGACATCAGAGCACATAGGAGACGAATACCCACCGCATCATAACGCAACTTGCTTCGACAAGCACAAGTACACCCGAGCGTCAAGATGATGAAGATCTCCGTACTTGCCATTGCTGCTGCGATTGCTATTGTCAACGTTTCCGCTGCCGACCAACCTGTTTTGCGTTCGGAGGCTACATCAGCGGAAGCGGTACCTGGTACGATGACAACTCCCGATAAAAACAAAAAGGAGCATTTCTGGGGCGGTGGACCTTGGGGTGGACTTGGCTGGGGAGGAGGCTGGGGCGGCTGTTGTGGTGGTTTTGGCTGGGGTCGCGGCTTTGGCTGGGGCTGGTAAGAAGGCGAAAGCCGAAACGAGGACAGTAGACGAGATCATGCACTCAATACATCAACCTTATACGCGCAGCACCCTACGATTGAATCTTCATTCCCAATTGGGGCTGAGAGTCTGGTTAGATGTGAACTCGAATTGAGCATTTCATTTTTGACAAGAATGAACTGAAGTTGATCTTTTAATTGTCTTGCTGAACTTTAAACTGTGTTATAATGCTCGATACCTCACTTGGGAATGCAAATATGGCCACTGATGGGAGCTATCCGATACATGCATCTTTCGGAAGCGATCATCAAAATGCGCATTCGTATCAGCAGTGCATGCTGGTTTCGAGATAGAAAGCACTCCCATTGTCAAGGACCGTATGCATCACAGCGTATTAACTTCTCATACGGTTGTTGAACAGCGTTCTCGTATCATGCGTATTCGTTGTGAGTGGTGTTTACTGCCTTCAGCTATCTTTGCCACTTCTGGCGCCAAACTACATTCACGATTACCTTTAGATATCTAGTCGAGTAGTTTCATCTTGATCGAAATACGTTTTGATGAAAGCTTTACCTGATGTTTTAGATGATAGACGGATGCGATATATATATCACCGAAATAATGAGATTCGTTCTTACATTTTGGTTGACACAAAACGCTTTGACTACCTATCACTTCAATCAACGCAAAGCGTCATTGCGAGCGAAGTTCTTGCCGACTTTACGAGAAAAAAGATCTCATATCTCCGACATCAGAGCACATAGGAGACGAATACCCACCGCATCATAACGCAACTTGCTTCGACAAGCACAAGTACACCCGAGCGTCAAGATGATGAAGATCTCCGTACTTGCCATTGCTGCTGCGATTGCTATTGTCAACGTTTCCGCTGCCGACCAACCTGTTTTGCGTTCGGAGGCTACATCAGCGGAAGCGGTACCTGGTACGATGACAACTCCCGATAAAAACAAAAAGGAGCATTTCTGGGGCGGTGGACCTTGGGGTGGACTTGGCTGGGGAGGAGGCTGGGGCGGCTGTTGTGGTGGTTTTGGCTGGGGTCGCGGCTTTGGCTGGGGCTGGTAAGAAGGCGAAAGCCGAAACGAGGACAGTAGACGAGATCATGCACTCAATACATCAACCTTATACGCGCAGCACCCTACGATTGAATCTTCATTCCCAATTGGGGCTGAGAGTCTGGTTAGATGTGAACTCGAATTGAGCATTTCATTTTTGACAAGAATGAACTGAAGTTGATCTTTTAATTGTCTTGCTGAACTTTAAACTGTGTTATAATGCTCGATACCTCACTTGGGAATGCAAATATGGCCACTGATGGGAGCTATCCGATACATGCATCTTTCGGAAGCGATCATCAAAATGCGCATTCGTATCAGCAGTGCATGCTGGTTTCGAGATAGAAAGCACTCCCATTGTCAAGGACCGTATGCATCACAGCGTATTAACTTCTCATACGGTTGTTGAACAGCGTTCTCGTATCATGCGTATTCGTTGTGAGTGGTGTTTACTGCCTTCAGCTATCTTTGCCACTTCTGGCGCCAAACTACATTCACGATTACCTTTAGATATCTAGTCGAGTAGTTTCATCTTGATAGAAATACGTTTTGATGAAAGCTTTACCTGATGTTTTAGATGATAGACGGATGCGATATATATATCACCGAAATAATGAGATTCGTTCTTACATTTTGGTTGACACAAAACGCTTTGACTACCTATCACTTCAATCAACGCAAAGCGTCATTGCGAGCGAAGTTCTTGCCGACTTTACGAGAAAAAAGATCTCATATCTCCGACATCAGAGCACATAGGAGACGAATACCCACCGCATCATAACGCAACTTGCTTCGACAAGCACAAGTACACCCGAGCGTCAAGATGATGAAGATCTCCGTACTTGCCATTGCTGCTGCGATTGCTATTGTCAACGTTTCCGCTGCCGACCAACCTGTTTTGCGTTCGGAGGCTACATCAGCGGAAGCGGTACCTGGTACGATGACAACTCCCGATAAAAACAAAAAGGAGCATTTCTGGGGCGGTGGACCTTGGGGTGGACTTGGCTGGGGAGGAGGCTGGGGCGGCTGTTGTGGTGGTTTTGGCTGGGGTCGCGGCTTTGGCTGGGGCTGGTAAGAAGGCGAAAGCCGAAACGAGGACAGTAGACGAGATCATGCACTCAATACATCAACCTTATACGCGCAGCACCCTACGATTGAATCTTCATTCCCAATTGGGGCTGAGAGTCTGGTTAGATGTGAACTCGAATTGAGCATTTCATTTTTGACAAGAATGAACTGAAGTTGATCTTTTAATTGTCTTGCTGAACTTTAAACTGTGTTATAATGCTCGATACCTCACTTGGGAATGCAAATATGTCCACTGATGGGAGCTATCCGATACATGCATCTTTCGGAAGCGATCATCAAAATGCGCATTCGTATCAGCAGTGCATGCTGGTTTCGAGATAGAAAGCACTCCCATTGTCAAGGACCGTATGCATCACAGCGTATTAACTTCTCATACGGTTGTTGAACAGCGTTCTCGTATCATGCGTATTCGTTGTGAGTGGTGTTTACTGCCTTCAGCTATCTTTGCCACTTCTGGCGCCAAACTACATTCACGATTACCTTTAGATATCTAGTCGAGTAGTTTCATCTTGATAGAAATACGTTTTGATGAAAGCTTTACCTGATGTTTTAGATGATAGACGGATGCGATATATATACACCGAAATAATGAGATTCGTTCTTACATTTTGGTTGACACAAAACGCTTTGACTACCTATCACTTCAATCAACGCAAAGCGTCATTGCGAGCGAAGTTCTTGCCGACTTTACGAGAAAAAAGATCTCATATCTCCGACATCAGAGCACATAGGAGACGAATACCCACCGCATCATAACGCAACTTGCTTCGACAAGCACAAGTACAC